GGACGCCCCGCGGTTAGGGCTGCAGCCCCGCTGCGGGCGGGCACCTCGCACACGTGGGGATGTGTTAGAGTCGTGGCATACTGTACTCTGACGTTGGTGTCAAATTAGTATTCGTCTCAATTCTGTTTTCTTAAATGTCTGTCACTAGCTTCTTTGAGGCGAAGGACTGTCAATTGTTATTGTATGCCTAGTACCTAACACATTGACTGACACAGTATAAGGGTAACTAGAACCTTAATAACTGACTTTATTAATTATTTTGTACCCATTTTGCTTAATGCATTAAAGTAAACTCTTCTTGACTTGGAACTTAATAATTTAGAATTTGTGAATGCAAAGTCTGAGGAAAAGTCTTTGCTAAGAAACAACAACACTTGAATGGTGTAATACAGAATTTAAATCTCCTAGAAAAGCTCAACAAATGACCCAGTAGAACTGAAGTTTTGGGATAATGAATTGATGCTATTAAATTATTGAATGAAAAACTTTTCAGGTTTTTTTTTTTGCCTGGACCCTGCCTATCCTTTCTGCCTTCCCCCCTACCCCCAGCATCACCATCCATTTTAGGGGTAGATATTTTGAAAGTTAATTCTACCCATTTAATGAGCATCTATTTCTAGACAATTTACCTTACCAAGCACCCCTATTTTATGCTATTTAATTTCACAACTTCTTGTGTTTTAGGAGTTAACATCACCACTTTAATATGCTAATATTGATACATAATAAACACTTTAAGGAATTAGCTCACAGTATTCACCAGGTCCTGACGCCTCCCCAGAACACATAGCAGTCAATAGGTTCAATGTCACATGTATATCTTACATGTTGCTAATGAAAGCAAAGCCTCATTAAAGCCAGCTACAAGCAGAAGCAGCAATATGAGTCTGTTCTTGCCTATTCTCAATGTTTGTGGGACAAAATGATACATTCGGGGATTGAGAATTCACTGATTAATCCTTAGTCTGACCCCGGTGACATCTATGCATGTTTATATAACTTTTAGCTTATATTCACACCCTCTCGCCTTCTGAACCACATCCTAATGCCACTAAGGACTTATATTTTTGCTATTTCAGGTCTTTTTCTTAAAAAATATTCCAACAGTTTTCTCTTGAACTTGTGCCCACTGTTTTTACTCCCAAACTGTCTAAAATGACAGATTTTATAAATTAAAATAGCTGACCATGATTTCAGTCAGTCTCCAGGAAGGAGAACCTGAACAAGAATTAAAGTATAAGCTGAAAACACAATTCCTTCCAGATGATGGCTCCTGAGTAGCATTTAACTGGGGTGCTGAGACTGCCTGCTGACCTCAGCAAGTCCTACTTAAGCTTCCATGTTCATATTACATTCTCATTAACCCAGGCCAACCTCTGCAAGAATCTCAGAATATTCTTTACAGAGAACATACATGATAATAATGTCTGATTTCAGAACAAGGAAGTAATTCTTAGTAGTAAGGGGATGGAGTAGGGTAGGCAGCTAGTAATTAAACTCATTTCAATGTTAAAAGAAAATTGGGGGGGGAGAAAAGCAGAGAACATAACACATTATCAAATAGATAAAAAAACACATGAAGTATTTGCCATAGTTTCACCCTATGGGATTAAAGGAAATGCAATAAAATGGCTGGAGAGATAAAGGATAAGATGTGTAAGTAGGTATGGAGAGGTGTGTCATATTTGACCAGGAGAAGCAATTTGAGAAGATAAAGGAATCCAGACATGGACAAACATGATGTTTTATCAGTGTTACTTGTTTTTAACACTGTTTCTTTTCCTCCAAAAATCACAAACTTTTGAAATAATGTTTTTTGGTTTTTTTTGGTCTCTGTTGCTAGATTGCAAGTTCTGTAAAAGCAGGGACCATGGTTTGTTGTTTATCTTTTTATTCTCTGTGCTTCTTAAATTTATGTTTGTTGAATGAATGAATGAATAAATCAACAAGTGAATAAAATATAGGTGACATATATGATATAGAGATGGAAGTTTATGTATTTAATAATATAAATTTTTATTGGGAGTTTACCCTCAAATGGCATCTGAGCTGAGAGGCTAAATGCTGAGAAAGCTGCTTTATTAATGGGCAACATGTAAGAAGTGCTCATGCTCTCAAATTCCATTAGTATTCCATGCTGAGAATTGTAGACTATAGCTTGCGTGAGAAGTATTGCTTTGAAGGAAGGATGTGATGGTCACAGTTATCGTACTTTGTTGGACATAGAAATGTCTATACATTCTTAATTTTCAATCCATGTTACTATTCATGGGGCCTTGACTAGTGTAGATGCTCATGGCCAGCAGGAGACTCAAAACTGATGTCCTTTCTCTACTGTGAGGAGCACTGGGACTAACAGAAAACAGTGTCACTGCCCTAGTGTGACTCACTGGAGCTGATCCTGATTGTCACCTTCACTAGGGGGGGGGGGGAGAAGTCCAGGTTCATTATATTTATTTTTTTTAGTTTTATGAATAAGTCCTGTATAACACAGCAATTTATAATTCTGAAGTGTTAATTGGTATCAACAGAATAACTCCCATAGAAGGACTAGTATTATCTCTTGAGACTGAAAAGTTAACTGACTAATGTGTTTCTTCAAGCTGATAAAGTAGCCCAGCTGGGCACCTAATCTAATGGAATCCAGGGATCTTTCCACTCTGATTCCAAGGAGGACCCCGCCCCATGGGGAGGCGAGCTGTGTGGTCTCAATCTCACTATGCCCTCTCCTGTCTGTTACTCCCCCGCAGTGGAACCTACAGTGACCATCTCCCCATCCAAGACAGAGGCTCTAAACCACCACAACCTGCTTGTCTGCTCGGTGACAGACTTCTATCCAGGCCACATCAAAGTCCGGTGGTTCCGGAACGGCCAGGAGGAGACAGCCGGCATTGTGTCCACCCCCCTTATTAGGAATGGGGACTGGACGTTCCAGATCCTGGTGATGCTGGAAATGACCCCACAGCGAGGAGACGTCTACACCTGCCACGTGGAGCACCCCAGCCTCCAGAGCCCCATCACGGTGGAGTGGCGTAAGGGGCAGTTTGTTTCCTTTCACTGTGGGCCCCATGAGACAGAGCTGCCCCAGCCCATCTCATCCCTTCCCTCGTCCCTGGTGTCACCACTGAGCTGGAAATTCCAGGAACTAGAATGCCTCTTGTGCCATGGCAGGGACATCGGAAGAACCACAACCTCACTGCCTTTGCAGTCACTAGGAGGTCACTATACACCATGGCCCCAGAACCCAGCCTGGTAGCTCTGAGGGACTGACTGTTACAGCTGGTGACTGGGGTCTTAGGGCCTAAGGTTAGGATGTGTCTTGAGCAGCAGGGGTCTGCTTCCCACTTTCTCTCACCCGCCCAACAGTGTCCACGGATCTGTGGTCTGGTCCTCCTCTAGGGGATGGTCAGAATGGAGAACTAGGTTCCCTTGGCACATCCCCGTCCTGTACCTCAGGCCGAACTCAGGCTTCCCAGAGGGACCCTGTGGGTGTGGGACAAAGGCTGACACTCAGGCTCTGCCCTCCAGGAGCACAGTCTGAATCCGCCCAGAGCAAGATGCTGAGTGGCGTCGGGGGCTTCGTGCTGGGGCTGCTCTTCCTCGGGCTGGGCCTTGTCATCCGTCACCGGAAACAGAAGGGTGAGGAGCTCTGGGGACCTGGGGACGGTGAGCTGTGACTGAGACTCTGTTGAGGGAGGTCTCTGCTTGTAGGTATAACTCTTACCTCCTGACCCTGAAAGAAAGGAAGGAGGCTGGGTGGGTGTGGGTGTGGGGGAAGACATTGAACTCTGACTTTACTGGCTGAAAGGTCGCCCTACCACAGAGGTGAATGGTGGAGTGTATTCTAGGACTTCCTTACAGGTCATCATCTCACTGGCTTCTTTCTGGAAGCTTCTTCTTTTAAGAGGGTCAGACCATTGTCTTCTCTTCCTTCTAGTGATAGTTTCATTCATGGGGGATGGGGAGGAGGTGTAAGCTTAGGGCAGTTAAGGCCTTGCGGCTGATGGGCAATGAGGAAATAAATTTCCGGTTAAGTTGCGTATCTCATTTTTCTTTGGGGTGAGTGAGGGCCTGCTGTTTGTGTAATGAGATCTTTCTCTGTGTATCTTCCTTCTGTAGGTCTTCGTGGGCCCCTGCCAGGTGCTATTTCTGCTCTATTCATTGGGGGGTGGGAGAGGGGTGACTGATAAAAGAGGGAAGGGCATGAGGTGAGTATACCTGGACACAGTGGTCTGGTTCATCGCCTGTTCCCTGCCACAAGATCACGAGTTGGGGGAGCACTTTGCCCAGTTTCTGTAGAAATCCCCAGAGGTTGTTGTCCAGAATCAGGCCATAACTTTGGTGGCATCTTTCTGTGAAACTTGGAGCCAGAGCCCGTCTTGGGTGTAAGACACCAGGACGATGCCCACTTCATGCCACATATTAGTGGCTACTGCCTGTGGATTTTTATAAGTGACAGAAAGAGGCTCCAAGTGATGGAAGCTAGGTAGTTATCATCTAATTTACTAAAATGAGTGAAATCACATTCCACAGAAGCGTAACAGCGACTCCCCAGCCTCCCACACATTTACGTTAGGCTGACATGCTCTGTCGTCTTTAGCTGATTTCACCTTTACACTGATATGGGGGAGGCGATGACGACATGCCCTCGACCTCAGCCATCTCTGTCTGATGCTGTAGGGCTCCAGGGGAGGGGAGAGGACGTCCCTCAGGGTGCCCCGTGCCAATTACTCTCTTTCCTGCAGGGCTCCTGCACTGACTCCTGAGGACACTTTGACTGGCCTTGGTCTTCTCTCTTCTGAAATGCCTGCCTGCCCTTGCCCAGAATTCCCAGCTGTCTGTCAGCCTGTCCCTCTGAAACCTGAGTCCTACAGTGACACTGATGGACTCAGGTCACCTCCTGTGATCCCCACCCCAAGGATCTGCCTGCCTTGCTGCTTCCTGCACGGACCCCGGGAGCCTCCCAACAGCATCTGCTCAGGCCCCACGGCGTTTTCCTGTGTCTTTTCTCCCCCACAGACTGTTCAAGAGAAGCACATCGAAACCATTTACCTGTCTACACAGCTTTAATCATAATTAAACATATTATGAGTTATCTGTATCCTGAACTTCCTTAGATGAGCAGAGGTAGGAAAGCAAGCAGAATGCAAGGAACATATTTTGAGGTGACCCAACCAACCTGGAGCCATGTGAGGGTGGAAAGATGTTGAATGCAGTGGCCTCAGGATATGCTGCCTCTCGTCTAGTCTGATGAGAAGTAAGTAAGGACAGTGGAATTGTTTGCTGACTCATACAGTGGGCTCTGGTTGCTGGTGTTTCAAGCATATCCTGGCAAGTCACATTGATCAAGGGCAATTTTTATTTTTGAGGAAGTATAGCCAGCAATAAAAGTACTATTTTTGGTTTCAAGTGATAGAAATCCAACATAATTTTATTTTGTTCAGGTTACAAGTCAGCCTGGGGTCAAGTTGATTTCAGAAGTGACCAAGTCCATATATTCAGTGAGATCTTCATCTATCTCTTTTCTGTTTTATCCCCATCTTTCTCTCTTTTCTCTGTGTCACTCTTTGTCCCCGTATATTTGTATCAGTGTGTTTCTCTGCATCTTTGTCTCTGTCTCCCTTGCTGGGTCTCTCACTGCATCACTGCTCCTGTCTCTCATTTTTCCCTATCTGCATTTTTTTCACTATTTACCTGCATCTGTTTATCCCTCTGTGTTTCTTTTTGCATCTATTTTCTGCATTTCTTTTTCGTCACCTCACATTTAATCCCATGTCTGTTTCTCTCTGTGTGCGTATCTCTCTCTCTCTCTCTCTCTCTCTCTCTCTCTCTCTCTCTCTCTCTCATGTTTCTAAAGCGTCTACCAGCATTTTAATCATTTTAGCCAAGATTCTGATTGGCTCAACCTGGGTAACAGTCACACTTAACAAAAACATCACCCTCTCCGTGGTAGGCAGTCAGCATCGTGCTCATCACACTTACTGGGAACAGGGACCAGATTTTCCAGCTCCTGTGTTGCTGGAGTGGTGATGTCTACACCTGCCACGTGGACACCCCAGACTCCAGAGCCCCCTACATTGGAGTGATGTAGAGGCAGTTTGTTTCTTGTGGACCCCATAGGACAAATGGCAGAGCTCCCTCTGGTTCTAGGTTCCCTGCTGGGGGTGTGGACTCACACCCATCCCACCCCTTGTCTCCTGCACAGTTGCCTGGTGCTGCTGCTGAGCTGGAATTCTCAGAGGATAGAGCTCCTTTGTCTGTGAACATAATGACTTGTCGATTCCTGATGACATTCTCTTCCCAGGTGTTGGGAAGGAAGGTCACTACACACTGTGGGTCCTTACACATGGACTCCATCTCAGTCTCTGGTCCTAAAGACACGGGTGGCTGAGAGCATCTCTTAGGTTATAGAAGGCTAATGCTCTCGAGGGGCAAGTGTGCCCTCCCCCCACCCCCTCACCCACCCACTGGGCCTGAAGAGCCGATGACAGGGCCTTCCGTCTCCTGGATGAGGTCAGAATGGAGAGCCAGGCTTCCTCCATCTCCTGCAAACCAGGCTGCACTGCAGGTCATCAGGCAGGGACACGGGTGTGGGGACAGACATGGTACTTGGGATTCTCCTCCTCAAGGCCAGAGTCTGAATCTGCCTAGAACAAGATGCTGAGTGCTCAGAGTTTTTGTGCTGGTTTGTCATCTTCCTCAGGGTCGTCACTGTCACTCACTATCTATAGGAGTAAAGATGGAGTGACACCCCTGGGGAAGTGGAGGGACTTGTGTTGGGTGACCAGGGAGCCCTCGCTGTCTGTATGCAGCTGTTTGCCTTTGTCTCTGCAAAGGCAAGAGGCAGGGCTGGATGCTGAACCAGACTCAGAGTTTAGGGAGATATTGAAATCAGATTTTTCAGTTGAAACATAAGCCCTATTATAAGGGTGAGTGGTAGAGTATATGCTGGGACATTCTGACAGTTCAACATTGTCACGTTGGCCCCATGCTGGGAGATTCCTTCTTAATGACAGGGTCAGAGTCCTCTTCTAGTGACAGTTTCATAGAAACAGCTATTTTTTGCACTCAGGTTTCATTGGGTAATAGAATTTTTAATGGATTATTTAATTAAAATAACAGGTGCATCTTTTATATACAAGTTTGCTAACAAAAAAACTCTGAGTCTTAGTAGGCATATACCTTGGGTAAAAGCGTATGGGTGTACTAGACAGTAACCTATTAGTCATGAGCATTTGGTCTTGCCTTCAATTATATCAGTCAGTATGTCCTCTGGGGACAGTGGCACTCACCAATACTCCATAGCTGCACATTTTCCAGCCTCCTCTGCCATTAGGCTGGGATCATGTGACTAGTACCAGCCAGTGGAACTTAAATGTGGGTGTGAGTTCTGCTTTGTCTTCCTCTGGAAGCCATTGTTGCGGTGATGGTGCAAAGATGTTGGAAACTCCGTTACCTGAGTCCCTTGAGTGACTATGGAATTGAGTTCCCTTTATTAAGCTAAGTCACTGAGATTTGATTTTCACTGCAGGTTAAGATCTTACTGAACATTGCCCTTCCTGACTATAATGGAATGTTTAACTGAAGATGCAAAGTTCATAAGTCAAAAGGGTGAGTCACTGACTTAATGAGAGTTAAGTGACAATGAATTTTTGAAGATATTTGTTTTCCTTCCACCCGAAAATACATGTATTCCTGCTGATGAGAATAGTGCTTCTGTAGGGGATGCTGTCTTGATCCACCTAGATTCCTCCCTTTGGGACTGAAAGATTTATTCCCTTAGTTGCTGAGAATGTTGATGCTGGAATTACCTTAGGTGAGGGGAGCTGTCTTGCCTAATTTTACCTGCTTTCTCCAGGTGAAATATATGTCCAGTGACTGCTCTGTGGGGGTATAAAGGTCCTGAGCTCTGCCTGATCTTGGGCCAACTTTGAAGGGCTCTGCAGCTTCTGAACTCCCTGGGGGTTAGGCTAAGACCTTTTTAGTGACTACGGAACAGCCCAACTTCTAAAATCCTGCTTTAATTCATGAGTCATCTTACATAATTCTTCTTTCAGTTTCTATTGAAATTTAAATATATTTGTTTCTGTGTCCTCTTCCCTTAATTATGGCCAATGTCTCTTATCCCCCTTCTTGAAATATGAAGGTACTGGCATCGCTACTCTTTCTTTCCCTTCTCCCACACACACTTTGTGAAACAGAGGTGTCTGCACCCTTTCAAAATATACATTGTTGAAGCTGAAAATATTGACATTCTGCTGGAACAATAATTGTCTTTGGGTTTTGAACATGGCTTAATTCTAAAAGTGGAAAAAAGTTGTTTATTACATATAAATATCACTTATGTAGTCAAGAATTTTAGGCTTGCCATGGAGCTGCTGTAGGATCTCTTTTTAGTGACGTTCTGGGTTGAATCCACTGTTTTTTACATTCCTTGCCTTTCTATTTTCTGAACAACATCACTTTACTAAGTCTTAGTCTTAATTTTCAATATAAATATGTGTGGTAGGTATATTTTAGATCCTTTTATGTCTATCAGTACTTTTATTCTTCATGCTTTATTGTGATTTTGAACAGATGTACATTTAATAATAGAAAATAATTTTCCTTTAGAACTTTCAAATTTTTCTCATTATCGTAATGATAGAAGTATCTGACAGTCTGATTGTTTTCTCTGTTCAATTTGTTTTATTTATTTTCTTTTACTGAGCTATTTTGTGATCTTCCTTTAACCTTTGAGGTCCTGAAATTTTAAAAATGATGCACTTAAGTTGTCTTTTTCATTAATTTTGTTAAGTATCTAACAGCCCCATTTTATGTAAAGAATTAGGTCCTTTATATGAGGAAAAGTTTTTCTTATCACTTGTTATGATAATTTTCTCCCTTCATTTCTATTTTCTCTCTAGGTCTGTTAATTTGATGTTGGACTTCCTGGGTCTGTTTTCAATGTCTTATCTTTTCTACCATATATTACATTTTTTTGTCTTTTTTTAATTTCAGGGAGATTTTCTTGATTTAATTTTCCAATATCCCTATTAAACTTTCCAGTTTTTTTAGCTCTCTATTATTACTTTTATAGATGCAATTCCTTTTCACTTCTAAGAATTCTAATTAGAAAGGCTTTAATAAATTGTTTGCTCTTACGTGAACTTTCTTTAATAAATCTGTGATTATTTTCATTTTATTTTATTCTCATCTTCCCTTTCATATTGCAAGATTTTCTCAAACATTTGCTCTGCCCTCTTTAACCTTGTCTTTCACATACTGTATAGCATTTTGTTTCATTGGAAGATACATTTCTTCAACTCTCCTCTAAACTTTACTAAATTGTATCTGGTTCCTGGTTCCTTTCTCATGTTACTTAGTTCTCTTCTTTTATAAATTCTTCATAGTTTGTAATCATATGTATATATTTACTTCCTCTGGAGTATAAGTTTTTTGAAGACAATGAATGTATCTGCTCTCACATTACTTTAATATACTCAGAACATAGTTTGGTATGTATTATAACACTGGTACTCAATGACCATTTTTGCTTTATTGTTTGAATTAGCAAATATATTAATAAAGTTTGGGGCTTAGTCCAGTCAATAATAAAGGGAACATTACTTTGCTTTATTTTGCTATTATTCTTTGTTGCTATTATTTCTTAATCTTTAAGTTTACATTTCTGAGAGGGTCTTATAGTCAAGTAGGATTTGGATACTCAGGGTTTCCTAAGTATGATAAAAAAAGAGAAAAATTTTAAAACCATCATAACTTCAAATCGAATGCTTCTGTGCCTATATTTTTTTCTTTCCTGGAATACTTTTTAAAAAACCTTTGTATTATGGAAAATTTCAACTATATACAGTAGTAGCAAGAATAGTGCCATATATCAACAGTCCAGCTTTAACAATGATCAATTCCTGGGAAATTCTGCAAACTCATCCACTTAGTTTTTCATGCACACTGGATTATTTTGAAGGTAATCTCAGACATCACATCATTTCATTCTTAAATATTTTATTATAAAATCTAAAATATAATGACTTTTTAGAAACATAACAATGCCATACCACACCTAAAATTAGATAAATAATCTTTCAGTACTGTCAGTATTCAGTTTTCCTGATTGTCTTACAAGAATTGTTTTTTTGTACACAC